AGGTCAAGACCCACTGTGCCCAGTTTGGCTGCGGCTGGTTCCAGTTCAGCCCAGCTGGTACCGGTTTGGCCCTGATTCAGCACCACCTGGTCCCAGTTCGGCTCCACTGTGCCCAGTTCGGCCGTGGCTGGTCCCAGTTCAGCCCTGGTGCGTCACCACCTGGTCCCAGTTTGGCCCCCCTGCGCCCAGTTTGGCTGCAGCTGGTCCCAGTTCAGCCCAGCTTGTACCGGTTTGGCCCTGGTGCGTCACCACCTGGTCCCAGCTTGGCTTCACTGCGCCCAGTTTGGCCCCGCCACGCCCAGTTCGGCCATGGCTGGTCCCAGTTGAGCCCTGATTCGGTACCACCTGGCCCTGGTTCAGCACCACCTGGTCCCAGTTCGGCTCTACAGTTTGGCTGCAGCTGGTCCCAGTTCAGCCCAGCTTGTACCGGTTTGGCCCTGGTGCGTCACCACCTGGTCCCAGCTTGGCTTCACTGCGCCCAGTTTGGCCCCGCCACGCCCAGTTCGGCCATGGCTGGTCCCAGTTGAGCCCTGATTCGGTACCACCTGGCCCTGGTTCAGCACCACCTGGTCCCAGTTCGGCTCTACTGCACCCAGTTCGGCTCCGCTGCACCCAGTTCAGCCAACCTGGTCCCAGTTCGGTCCCAGCTGGTCTCGGTTCAACTCTGCTGCGCCCAGTTCGGCCCCGCTGTACCCAGTTTGGCTCTGCTGTGCCCAGTTCAGCCACGGCTGATCCCAATTCAGCCCTGGTTCAGAACCACCTGGTCCCAGTTTGGCTCCGCTGTGCCCAGTGCGGCCCCGCTGCGCCCAGTTTAGCTGCGGCTGGTCCTGGTTCAGCCCAGCTGGTACCAGTTCAGCCCTGGTTTGGCACCACCTGGTCCCAGTTCGGCCCTGCTGCACCCAGTTTGGCCCCAGCTGGTCCCTGTTTGGCCACGGCTGCTCCCACTTTAGCCCCAGCTGGTCCCGGTTTGGCCCTGGCTGCTCCCAGTTTGGCCATGGCTGGTCCCAGTTGAGCCCCAGCTGGTCCCTGTTTGGCCCTGGCTCCAAGTTCAGTCCCAGCTTGTCATAGTTCAGCCCCAGCTGGTCCCAGTTTGGCCCCAGCTGGTCCCAACTGGTCTCAGTTTGGCAGGCAGTGTCCGGGTGCAAGCCTGCCTCCCCACCCCAGCCAGCCACTGACCTGGGGTCACAGGTCCAGCAGGGCCCCACTGGTGTCCCCGTCACACACACAGGTTCAGCACAGCCCCACTGGTGTCCCTGTCACACACACAGGTCCAGCAGGGCCCCACTGGTGTCCTCGTCACACACACGGGTCCAGCAGGGCCCCACTGGTGACCCCCTCACACACACGGGTCCAGATCAGCCCCACTGGTGTCCCTGTCACACACACGGGTCCAGCAGGGCCCCACTGGTGTCCCCGTCACACACACAGGTCTGGCGGTGACCGACTCCCACAGGTGACGGTTGCCCCCTCGTGGCAGCGTCCCCAGGGCCCGACTCCCCGTGGTGAGGGGGTTCCCGGAGGAGGGGACAGCGGGGGTGGCCCCTGTCCCCCTGCTCCTCACGCTGTCCCCGTCTCACCCCCCCAGGTCACCCTCGCTTCTTCAACCAGCTCTTCTCCGGCCTGGACCACCACGCGCTGGCCGGACGCTGGATCACCGAGGCCCTCAACACCAGCCAGTACGTGCCCGAAAATGGGGGGTTGGCCCTAAGCGGGGCTGCTTTTGGGGTGCTGAGGTTTTGGGGAGCGGTGGCAGGCGGCCGGGCACCCCCCCCCCCCTCCCCCCCCGAGATAACCCCACGAGAGCCCCCCCGACTTCGGGCC